CATCATCCTCCGCCTCCTCCTCCACCTCCTCCTCCTCCTCGTCCCCCTTCCATCGCACCGCACCAATGTCAGCACGCCCCACGCACGGTTCGTGGCCGCATGGGGAGCTCCACCTCCGCAAGGTCGGCGCACCCTCACGAGGATCGTGGTGGGAAAGGTTCGCATGGCGGCGCCGCCCCAGTTCGGCGCACCCCTCACGAGGATCGTGGCCCCGTGGGGAGCTCCACCGAAGACCTCAGTGAGAAAGTTCGCATGGCGGCGCCGCCCCAGGTCGGTGCACCCATCACGAGGATCGTGGCCCCATGGGGAGCTCCATCAAAGGCCCCAGTGGGAAAGTTCGTATGGCTGCGCTGCTCCAGTTCGGCGCAGGCCCCAGTGGGAAAGTTCGCATGGCGGCGCCGCCCCAGTTCGGCGCACCCCTCACGAGGATCGTGGCCCCATGGGGAGCTCCACCGAAGACCAGTGAGAAAAGGCCTCCAGTCGGCGCACCCCTCAATCGTGGCCCCATGGGGATCCACCGAAGGCCTCAGTGGGAAAGTTCCCATGGCGGCCCCGCCCCAGTTCGGCGCACCGTTCACGAGGATCGTGGCCCCATAGGGAGCTCCACCGAAGGCCCAGTAGGAAAGTTTGCATGGCGGCCCCGCCCCAGTTTGGCGCACCCCTCAAGAGGAACGTGGCCCCATGGGGAGCTCCACCGAAGGCCCCAGTGGGAAAGTTCGCATGGCGGCGCCGCCCCAGTTCGGCGCACCCCTCACGAGGATCGTGGCCCCATGGGGAGCTCCACCGACGACCCCAGTGGGAAAGTTCGCATGGCGGCGCCGCCCCAGGTCGGCGCACCCCTCACGAGGATCGTGGCCCCATGGGGAGCTCCACCGAAGGCCCAAATGGGAAAGTTCGCATGGCTGCGCCGCTCCAGTTCGGCGCACCCCTCACGAGGATCGTGGCCCCATGGGGAGATCCACCGAAGGTCTCAGTGGGAAAACTCGCATGGCGGCCCCGCCCAAGTTCGGCGTACCGTTCACGAGGATCGTGGCCCCATAGGGAGCTCCACCGAAGGCCCAGTAGGAAAGTTTGCATGGCGGCCCCGCCCCAGTTTGGCGCACCCCTCAAGAGGAACGTGGCCCCACGGGAAGCTCCACCGAAGGCCCCAGTGAGAAAGTTCGCATGGCGGCGCCGCCCCAGTTCGGCGCACTCCTCACGAGGATCGTGTCCCCATGGGGAGCTCCACCGAAGACCCGTGGGAAAGTTCGCATGGCGGCGCCGCCCCATTTCGGCGCACCCCTCACGAGGATCGTGGCCCCATGGGGAGCTCCACCGAAGGCCCCAGTGGGAAAGGTCGCATGGCGGCGCCGCCCCAGTTCGGCGCACCCCTCACGAGGATCTTGGCCCCATGGGGAGATCCACCGAAGGCCTCAGTGGGAAAGTTCGCATGGCGACCCCGCCCAAGTTCGGCGTACCGTTCACGAGGATCGTGGCCCCATAGGGAGCTCCACCGAAGGCCCAGTATGAAAGTTCGCATGGCGGCGCCGCCCCAGGTCGGCGCACCCCTCAAGAGGATCGTGGCCCCACGGGGAGCTCCACCGAAGACCCCAGTGGGAAAGTTCGCATGGCGGCAGGACCGTTGCCCCATAGGGAGCTCCACCGAAGACCCCAGTGGGAAAGACCGCATGGCGGCCCCGCCCCAGTTCGGCGCACTCCTCACGAGGATCGTGGCCCCACGGGGGAGCTCCACCGAAGGCCCCAGTGGGAAAGTTCGCATGGCGGCGCCGCCCCAGTTCGGCGCATCCATCACAAGGATCGTGGCCCCATAGTTAGCTCCATCGAACATGATAGGCACGACTACGGTACTCAACGCTGCATATGGTTTGGGTCATTCGTCTGGCTACTTTTAAGGTGCGTTGGACATTCGATTCTGAAATCCGTCCAAAACCGACTGTGTTTGAAGGATGTCGGCATGCGCGCGCGACGACGCGCGTGTGCACTTCGCCCTTTCCGCTTCAAGGGATTATTGAAACCGAATGATTTGTGATAAACGAGTGCGCGCGCATAGATATGTTGCAGAAGATGGCGGGGGGGTCGAAAATGGCTGGGCTGGGATGGTATGAGTCCATGTTCAAGATGGACGATGGGGCAGAACCATGGTATAATTGCAACACAAAAAGGTGGACCAATAAAGCTGGCGGGGGGATCTAACTCATCTTTAGAGGGGAATATACACGATGTAAGTTGTATGGCGCAATCTACTTTGTGTCATATGCATTGTATCATATACGCGACTGTACAATGTACACTGTGCAAGCTAATTACGTGGTGCCATATACTGTCAAAATGCACAATTACGTGTTACACGTTTATATGTATACATATATATGTATATATATATACATATAAAAATTCACAGATACACATGTGGTTGAGGTCGTCATAGGGGGGGGGGCCTGGGCGTGAGTGGGTTTTCATAGGGGGGTATTTGGGCTCCGTGGGAGCTGTTTGGGGAGCCTCGCGAGGCCCTCTTGGGCAGTCGTGGAGTCTTCTTGGGTTGTCACGGGGCCTTCTTCGGCCGTCTTGAGGCGCTCCTGGGAAGGTTGCAGGGGGCTTCTTGGGGCGTCTTGGAGGCACCCTGGACTTTTCGGAGGCTGTCCAGGGTGTCGTGGGTGGTTATTTTGGTGAAGGGGGACCTCTCTGGACCATTTTGGACAAGTTCCGAGGGCTCCACGGCGGCTGAGGGGGAGGCTCGTTGGACCACTTCGGACAGAGGTCTGGGGGGCTTCACGGCGGCAGCGTGGGTCGTCTCAAAGGCCTCCGGGGCCCTTTTCCGCCTGCTGAGAGGGGGCTCGAGGCCGCTTGGAATCCGCCAAGAATCGTTCAACCACCGCCGTAAAATGCATGAGATGCGCCTCTCAGGAGGGGGCGCCCTGGAGGCACATGGGGTGCCTGGAGGCTGTCATGGACGTCTGGAATCGCTCTGTTGGCGAAAGTCGGCGGTGGACAAACCTCCCTTTAGTACACCACCCCTTAATGAAAAACCAGCCTGGGACCGAAACCGACGGACCTGGACCCGCAGAAATGACGGCCGCGACGCCCTCTCGCGAAGTGAAAACGGCCAATTCGCTAATCGACGTGTCAGGGTAGGAGGTCTGTCCACCCCCAAGAAAGGGGGGCATCCCTGGATCGTGCATGGCACGCGGGAAGGGGCCGGTTGGCGCGTTCGGGGGCACCCGTGAGGCCATCTGGGGCTGCTCTCGGGCCATGTGAGAGGCCTCCCTCGGCGGTGGACAAGCCTCCCTTTAGTAAATCTCCCTTTAGGCCTTTGGTGAAAACAGCCTGGGAACGAAACCGACTGACCTGGACCCGCAAAGGACGGCCGCGACGCCCTCTCGCGAACCAAGAGCGCCCAATTCCTTAGTCGACGTGTCAGGGCATGAGGTCTGTCCACCCCCGACGCCCCTGGGTCGTCGCAGAGCGAAATGGACGGCGTCTGGGGCCGTTCCGGATTACACCGGAGCTGGACACGCGCACACGTGAGAAAGCCTGCAAAATTCATGGGAAATTCATGGGATTCGGCCCTGGGGGCCCCTCTTGGGGAAGGTTTTCGGCGGCTTGTATGATCAACTTGGAGGCATCTTGGGCTGTCTGGACGCAATGTTGGGCGTCTTGGGCCGCTGTTTTGGCAAGAAGTGGCTCCCTGGATCGTGTCGGGCAGGTCTGAGGGGCTGGTCGTCGGCTTCGTGGGAGGTTTGGGGGCCCTCCGGGGTTTTTGGGCCGCGTTGGAAGTTCCCTGGGTCGTCTCAGAGCGAACTGGGGGGCGTCTGGGGCCGTTTCGGATTGCACCAGAGCTGGGCACGCGCGCTCCTGAAAATCCATCAACCTCACGGTGTGAACAGATGCACCGGCCGTTGGGGCCACTCGAGCAAGTCTGGGCGGCCTCTCGGGGCTGCTTGGAGGCGCCCTGGGCTGTCTGGAGGCTGTCCTTGGCGTGTCGGGTCGTGACTGTCGTGGGCGGGGGCCGCCGTGGGCCCCTCCCGGACGGTTCCCAGAGGCCCGGGGCGCCCATGGCGACGGGAGGCAGCTGGCAGCCCCCCGCACCCGCTCCGTAGCCTGGCATGTATGTATGTATGTATGTATACATATATATATATATATATATATATATATATGCCAATACACATGTATGTGCGTACATGCGTAGATGCGTAGATGCGTAGATGCGAGTGTGAACATGCATGTGTAGGTGAGAGTGTGTATGTGTATGTGTATGTGCATATGTGTGGGAGACAAGTGTCCGTCAGTGTGCAAGTGTTGTATGGGTATGTATGTGTGGAGGTATGTATGAACGCATGTCTGATTGTATGTATGCATACATGCTTGCATAGATGTATGTGTTGATGCATGCATGCATGGATGCATGCATGCATGTATGATTGTATGCATGTGTGTGCAATGTATGTATGTGCGTATGCATATACATATATATATATATGTATATATCAATGTGCGTGCGTGCGTGTGTGGGTTTGCGCTGTGGACGTGTGGGTGTGTGGGTGTTTCGTTGAGTGGGTGTGTGGGTGTGTGGGTGTGTGGGTGTGGGTATGTGTGTGGGCGTACGTGCGTGCGTGCGTGCGTGCGTGCGCGCGCGCGTGCGTCGGTGTGTCTGTGTGGGTGGTGTGTGTATGTGTGAGTGGTGTGTGTGTGTGTTGGTGTGCGTGTGCGTGTGCGTGTGCGTGTGCGTGTGTGCGTGTGCGCGTGTGCGCGTGTGTGCATGTGTGCGTGTGTGCGTGTGTGCGTGTGCGCGTGCGTGCGTGCGTGTGTGCGTGTTTGCGTGTGTGCGTGCGGGCGGGCATGCGGGTGTGCGGGTGTGCGGGTGCGCGTGTGCGTGTATGTATGTATGAATGTGTGTGCGTGTGCGTGACATGCTGCACGTGCTGATATGTACGCAGCAGAGGTTGAAACCATGTTGGGAGGAGCGCCGCTGGCCGCGGCGACGCCGAGCGGGCGGCGTCCTCCTCCGGGTGCTCTCCCCTCTGCGCCCGCGACCGCGGCAAGCCCTGGCGGCATCCCTCATCCGCGCTCTCGTCGTCGTCGTCCCACGTCGTTCTCTACGCCCTCAAAGGTTCAAGCTCCTCATGCTGAGGCCCCGATGCTCCTCTTCCCCCCCCAGGTCCTCCTCCTTTTCCTCCTCCCTCCATCCGTCCTTCCCTCCCTCATCCCTTCCTAGCCCCTCCACCTCCCTCCTTCTCCTCATCATCCCCCTCCTCCTCGTCCTCTTTTTCTTCCTCCCCCTCCTCCCCCTCTTCCCCCTCCTCCCCCTCCCCCTCACTAATTACGCCTTTCCCTTGTCTTCCCCATCTTCCTCCTGCTCCTCCTGCTCCTCCTCCTCCTCCTCATGTTCGCTTCTGTCCCAACCCCCCCTTGGTTGGGTTCTCGTTTTGAATAGGGCAGTGGGGTGCCAACTCCCTTTTCCTCCGCCTCCCGCCCTCTGTCCTCCTCTCGCCTGCCTGCACCTGCCTGCTTGCGTCCCTCTTGGGGGCCGCAAAGTGTGAAACTGTCGCCACTTTGGAGGGTTGCTGAGGGTGCTAGCATAGTGGTGTCCTACGCGGATCCAAACCGGACCTCGCCATCCATTGGGGGGCTGCGAAATGCGAAACTGTCGCCAATGTCTAGGGTTGCGGGGGGAAACCATAGTGGGTGCCGACGGCAGATTCAAATTAGACCTCGACACCCCTGGGGGCTGCGATCTTCGAAACTGTCGTCACTTTGGGGGGCTGCTTGGGGGTGCCAGCATGGTGGGTGCCGACGGCAGTCTTGAATTAGACCTCGACATCCTTCGGGGGCTGCGACTGTGCAACTATCGCCATGTTCGAGGCCTGTTTGGGGGGCAGCGTAGTGGGTACCGACGGCAGATTCAATATACACCTCGACATCCCCGGGAACTTGTGATCTGCGAGACCGCCGTCAGATTCGAAGGCTGCTGGGGGGGCCAGCATCATGGGTGCCGACGGCAGATTCAAATTAGACCTCGACATCCCGGGGTGGGGCTGCGAAATGTGAAACTGTCGCCGCTTTCGAGTGCTGCTGGGGTGGGCAACATAGTGGGTGCCAGCGGCAGATTGAAAGTAGACCTCGACAACCCTGGGGGGGCATATGCGAAACTGTCGCAACGTTCGAGGGCTGCTGGGGGGGGCCAACATGGTGGGTACCGACGGCAGATGCACAATACACCTCGACATCCCCGGGGGGGGCTGCGAAGTGCAAGACTGTCGCCACTTTCGAAGGCTGCTGGGGGGGGCATCATGGTGGGTGCCGACGGCAGATGCCAAACACACCTCGACACCTCGGGGGGGGGCTCCACAGTGCGAGGCTTGCCACTTTCGAAGGCTGCGGGGGGGGAGGAGGGGCATCATGGTGGGTGCCGACGGCAGATTCAAATTAGACCTCGACAATCTTTGGTGGGATCTGCGAAGTGCGAGGCTGTCGCCATTTCCGAGGGTTGCTGGGGGGGGCAGCACAGAGGGCGCCGACGGCAGATTCGAATTAGACCTCGACATTCCTGGGGGGAGGGTTCGAGAGCTGCTGGGGGAAACAACATGGTGGGCGCCGACGGCTGCCAAACTGTCGTCACTTTGGGGGGCTGCTTGGGGGTGCCAGCATGGTGGGTGCCGGCAGTGTGTTCAAATTCGACGTCGACATCTCGGGGAGGGGCTGCGAAATGTGCAGCTGTCGCCGACTTCGAGGGCTGCCGAGGGGGGCATCGTGGTGGGTGCCGACGGCAGATTCAAAAATAGACCGCGACACCCCTACACCCCTGGGTGGGGGCGATCAGTCTCGGATGTCACATATCCTCCTTTCACCTCCTCCTCCTCCTCCTCCTCCTCCTCCTCCTCCTCCTCGTCCTCCTCCTCCTCCTCTTCCCCGTCCTCCTCCCCCTCCTCCCCCTCCTCCTCCTCCTCCTGCTCCTCCTCCTCGACCTCCTCCCCTCCTCCTCCTCCTCCTCCTCCTCCTCCTCCCCTCCTCCTCCTCCTCCTCCTCCTCCTCCTCTCCTCCTCCTCCTCCTCCTCCTCCTCCTCCTCCTCCTCCTCCTCCTCCTCCTCCTCCTCCTCCTCCTCCTCCTCCTACTCGAGGGGCGCGCGGGGCGCGGCCATCCACGCGGAGCTGCCGCAGCTTCGTCGCCCCCCGCTCCCGGAAAGCGTGGCCCCCCGCACCCGAAGAGCGCTCTGGGGCGCCGATGCAGTGCTGATGACGAACGAACAACACACACCCATACCCATAGGGGGGTTAGGGGGGTCCTTGCGAGGAGGACTGGCTATGGGTATGGGTGCGGGTTGTCTGACCCTGGGGAACGCTCCCGTTCGAGCGGGGAGCCCCATCCGACAACACGCACCCATAGCCCTCTCCGACCCCCCTATGGGTATGGGTGTGTGTTGTCGTCTCGTCACTTGAGCACGCCGGCGCTGTCCGATCTGAACTTGACTACCTACCAAAGCACCCCAACCCAACCCGAAGACCCGAATTTGACCCGAGTTTGGGGTTGGGGGGTACGGGTTCCATGTGTTCTTACAATGTTCACCGACCCCCCCCCCACACTGGAAATGGATGGCAAATTGTAGCTTTCGGGTTGGGTTGGGGTGGTTTGGTGGGTGGTGAGAAGTATTCCCCTCGCCAACGCTGCGCTGTTGCTCCAGGCTGAGGTTGCCATCGGGCCCTCTGGACAAACCACCCTGGCGTTCTTGTGGACCCTGTCTGCTGGTGCAAAGCGGCACTTGCCCATCGAACCGTCTGAAACAGGTCAAGCAATGCATCCTCCGTGTTGTGCATTGCGCCGCCAAGGAATCCCTTGGTTATAACGAAACGCCTAATGCTTTGGTCCATGTGACTTTGAATACGTTTTCGCAGAATTCGGGATCATTGAGTTTTTATTCATCCTGAGATTATGATCCGGATTTTAGGAAAAAATATGTGTCCCAAGCCTCTCTTGATTGAGTTCTTGTCTTGAAAGTAGCAGTGGGGTATCCTCCTCCTCCTCCTCCTCCTCCTCCTCCTCCTCCTCCTCCTCCTCCTCCCCCCACTCTCCACTCGGCTCTCTCCTCTCGCATCCCTCTTGGGAACTGCGACGCGTGAAACTGTCGTTACGTTCGAGGGGCCACACGCAAATCCAAACAGGATCTCGCCATCCCTGGGGGGCTGCGAAGAAACTGCCGCCACGTTCGAGGGCTGCTGGGGGAGTCCTCGCAGTCGGGCCACACGCAAATCCAAACGGGACCTCGCCATCCCTGGGGGGCTGCGAAGTGTGAAACTGCCGCCACGTTCGATGACTGCTGGGGGAGCCCGCAGAAAGGGGCCACACGCAAATCCAAACGGGACCTCGCTATCCCCGGGGGGCTGCGAAGAAACTGCCGCCACGTTCGAGGGCTGCTGGGGGAGCCCGCAGAAAGGGGCCACAAGCAAATCCAAATGGGACCACACCATACTTTGGAGGCTGAAATGCGAAACCGTCGCCAGTTTCGAGGGCTGCCGGAGGAGCCCACACAGTGGGGCGCCACGCAGACTCCAACGGGACCTCGCCATCCCCGGGGGCCTGCGAAGTGTGAAACTGTCACCACGTTCGAAGGCTGCCGGGCGGGGCAGCGCAGTGGGGCCTCGCGCAGATCCAAACGGGACCTCGCCATCCCCGGGGGGCTGCGAAGTGCGTAACTGCCGCCACGTTCGAGGACTGCTGGGAGAGCCCGCACAATGGGGCCGATTGCAGACACGCACGCACGGGGCCTCGCCATCCCTTGGGGGCTGCGAAGTGTGAAACCGTCGCCGTTTGCGAGGGCTGCTGGGGGAGCCAGCGCAGGGGGACCGCACGCAGATCCAAAGCGGGACCTCGCCATCCCTGCGGGGCCGAAGCGTCAAACCGTCGCCAGTCTCGTGGGCTGCCGGGGGAGCCCACATGGTGGGGCGCCACTAGGGGGCAAACAAACCTGCCTCGCTTTTGACCACCCTCGCTTCCAAGAGATACCAAGCGATGCCAAACTACGGCATGTACTAGTCAGGCCGCTTGACGAGGAGGCGTATGGTATGACTTGGTCTTGCCTGGAAGCGAAAGCGGGGTAGGTAATTCACGCTCTGAACCACGCAGATTCCAACGGGACCTCGCCATCCCCTGGGGGCTGCGAAGTGTTGAGCTGCCGGACACGCTCGAGGGCTGCTGGGCGGGGCAGCGCAGCAGGGCGCCACGCGGATCCAAACGGGACCTCGCCATCCCCGGGGGGGCTGCAGAGCAGGGCTGTAACTACACGGTGTGTTTCGTTTTCGTTTTGTCCTCGTGTTCCTTCGTGTTGTCTTCAATCCGCCCGTACCGCAAAACGAAGTCGAAACGAAAACGGCCCACGAAATCGCCAAAAAAACACCGTTTAGCTCCAGCCCTGCTGCAAAGTGTGAAACTGTCCCCAATTTCGAGGGCTGCTGGGGGGCAGCACAGCGGGGTTCCACGCAGATTCCAAAGAGACTTCTCCATCATCTCGCTACTTCTGTCGAGGCGATTGTTCTTCCACCCCGATGTCTTCCTGTTGCTCCTCCGTCCCAATACAATGCCTCCTGGCCTTTTGTGCCTCTTTTCTGTAATCGGCCACGCACACTTCTCAAGACATGCATATAAGCCGTGCACCGTCTATTGCAGTGTCGCGGTCACACTATTGTCGGCACACCTTATATCATCCCTTGGTGCCGATGGGTTGTGTACATCGCAGGGTAACTGATCGCACCCTGATGGGGGGGAGAAGAATGTGACGAGGGAGGAGGAGGAGGAGGAGGAGGAGGAGGAGGAGGAGGAGGAGGAGGAGGAGGAGAGGATGAACCGAGGGAGGAGGAGGAGGAGGAGGAGGAGGAGGAGGAGGAGGAGGAGGAGGAGGAGGAGGAGGGGGGAGGGGGATGGGAAGGGAAGATAGGGAGGGGAGGAGAGAAGAGGAGGAGGAGGAGGAGGGGAGGAGGAGGGGGGAGGCGGAGGGGAAGGAAGATAGGAGGGGAAGAGGAAAAGGAGGAGGAGGAAGAGGAGGAGGAGGGGGGG